AGTATCATTCCCTGTCGCCAAGAACTAACTATCCAAGGAGGGATCGTTACAGTTATATCATAATTAGCAAAGAGGGTGTGGTGATTTTCAGGGTCTCTAGGTGTTCACACCTTTCAAGAATACCCAACGTTACGAGTTATAATCAGAAAAGTACATAGAGGCATGATAAATAAATATAGTCCGTGAACACTCAGACACGGAATATAAATATTGAGGTGTCTCCAAAGCTTTAAACATCATCAAGCAACAGAGAAGAGACTTTAACAATATAATATTGTTTTTACAATTCTATTTTACTTTACCGAATTTACTTCACTCCTAGTAGTCATAAACTAAAAGAGTGAGCCCAAGGCTTCCTATATAATCTCTGTCTACAGAAACGAATTTCGATTGGCCTAGACAACTCTGAAGTCTATCAGATTGTTTCCACCTAACAAGGTCCCACTTGCCTGAGTGGTAAGGTTCTAGATGTGCAATGGCAAGATAATAGCACTGTTTATTTTCTATCAACTATTAATAATCTGGAGGATCATGTCACCACTGAACACAAAAAGCCTCACCTTAGCAGCACTAATAGCCCTGCTATATGCTGAGTATTTGGATCTCCTGACTGGGCAAAGGTTTCTATCCCTGTTATCACATATGATTACAACCAATACAAAGTAGGTGTGGATGTAGCCGATCAGTATAGAAGCTACTACTTCACTTAATTGAAGTATCTTCAAAACTGGCCTCTTATTTTTTATTAGCTGTTAAACATAACTATGATCAACTCCTACCTCATTGCACAACACCTTTCACTCCCCTATGAGTACCAGGCTTGTTCTCATACTTTTCATCTAACCCTTGCTGAATTACTTGTGGCAAATTATGGCTTCTGTACTAGGCTTTGAAAGTCTCGCAAATCCTATTACACTCGCGAAACCAGCCTGAGTACACCTTACTATAGTAAGCAACAGCAAAGGACAAAGCTTGCTCCTCCTACTGGCTCTCCTACTGAACACCACTTTACCCATATGTGAAGCACTCCAGTGGGCTACGTGCACTGTCGATTTATGTTATGTAACATGAATCAGAAGAGCAAGAGAGCACTCCACACTGTTACGAATGTGGCTTGGCATAAAAGAGGTTTTCATGTGACATATGGTTATGAGTCACAGGTATGTTATTGTTTCACACATATGACTCATTCAGGTCATATGAGTTGTTATGTGTGGGATTTGTGATGCTTTCACACATGGCTCAAATATGAGTCATGGGACGTGCACCTGGCAAGTACGCCTTGCAAGGATGCCTTACGGGTAAGCCTTGTGCATATGATTTATGTTTTGCACATGACCTCGTTATGAGGTCATGGGTTTCGCGCACATGACTCAGTCGAGTCATATGACTTGTTTATTACGTTATGATTGATTTATGAGTTTTTGTACATGACCTCGCTATGAGGTCATGGGTTTTGAGCATGTGATCACTTTGGTCACATGACTAGTTTGTTATGATTTGGTTTTGTACATGTGACCACTTTAGGTCACATGACTACAGACGGGAAGAATACTATATAAGGAGGCTGATGCGGCCGAGGAAGATATGTTCTTCACGCTTTGTTCTAAGTACTTTTCCTACTTATTACTTTAAAGAATATAAAACAAATTTACGATCTTTATCTTTATTGCAACGTTATTGTTACGCCAAGGAGGGCTCTTCACGAAGAAGAGTTAGAGAAAACTTACGATAGGCGTTTCCGATAGAAGACAAAGGTCTTGTACTATCGGTAACGTAGGCAGAGGCCTAGCGCTATTGTAAGATGAAGGAAGAAGAAGAAAGAGAAGAGAAGTATCGTTCCCCATCGCCAAGAACTAACCATCAGAGAAGGGATCGTTACACACACCCAGTATGGGTGTTTTGGCCCTGAGTATGGCATTGGTCTTTGTCTAGAGTATTACAATAAGAGGCACACAGGACTTTTTATTTCTTAGTTAATTTTTTAGATCTTATTTTAGCTTTGCTTGAAGTCTTCTTTCAATCTATCATGATCATTGTGTTTTGAGTGCAAGATGCAACCATAGTCATTTGATATCACACACTTGATTTCTAAGCGCCAAGCTTCCCCACTCAGTTTAGCGTACCTGGAACCATTTTTGACTGTTTCAGACCGCCCAAGGGATACTCCGTCTGTATCCTAAACAATTCGTAGCAGACTGTGAGGGTAATTGTGTGACGCGAACATTTTATGGCCTTTTTATATGCCCCCACGTCACTTTTACAATATAATATTATTATGTATGATAGAATGCCGTGAGGTTATGGTAAATCCTCCCAAGCGTACTGGGAATCTCAATCCAATCTACCGGTATTGACCGTATCTGAAGCTGGATCGGATGCCCTATCTACTGCTTCGTTCCTGAGATGTAAGGGTCAATAGCAAAGATATGCAGCCGGAACCGTGGTTTGCATTGGCCAGCCTTCCTGCATTTCTCGGGATTTGCTCATTGGGATTCTCAATTTCTTTTTCCCGAGCGTACCAAGGAGAAGCTGCCCTAGGAGTTCTTCAGAAAAGAAAATTTCGCCTTATGTATCGCCCAATACCGGTATCTCTAGAAGGTGGGTGGGTGAGGAGCCCTAAGTGCACTTGAAAATGCATTTCACAATGCCGGTACTTGGCCGATAGGTTCCTGAAAATTCCTGGGTGCGTTACCGTACCGTAAAAACTCTTTCAAATCCATTACCCGTATCTCCGCCAGCCCAGAAACCCTTGTGATCCAGAGATCTAAACTATTGAGAAGAATCAGTGTTTTTCTTAACACGGCACAATGTTTGCCCATAGGATGTGTTTTGATCTCATTAACCAATATCCGCAGTTCTCTTAACCTCTCAAACCAAACCTATCACGGGATAACGGGCTGATTTCCGCTTGCGATGATTATCAAGTCCCCGCCCGTGTCCGCACGGTACCTAGGAACGGTGATTTTGCCGATGAACATCAATCGTGGTCATCGGACTTGCTATCGGAGGTGATATGCTGTTCTGTTCCCACCGGAAAGTTTAGGAGGCAGCCGGGGTGTCCCGGACAGGCCACTTTCGACGTCCCACCTCGCCAAGTGAGGGAGTTAGAATAGTTCTCCCTCTACCGGTAAGTGCCCAATCCCCCCCACAACCAACCAAACTCATGATCATTTACACTGGGTCCGGTGATTTTTGCGGCGGGACCTTTTGCAAGTCGTCTGGCTCTCAATCTCCACGCTGCATTGTCCACAAACCACAAACACAAGAATTTAACTTGGACGGGCGGACGGATACCCTGATCCTGAATACGTAACCAAGAGCTCGTCATGGCTCCGAGACCCACAGCAGTGGGTATTGGCCATTTCTTTTTTTGAAGTATTTGCAGGCAATTGTACCGTGTGACTTTTGTGTCAACTTTCTGTGGGAAAATTTTAGTCGTGTAACAGTCGACGTATCCTCCAGCTAAACTTTACAGCTGAAGAACCCACCAAAGGAGGAAAGTCCAAGTGGTTTCTAATGATACAAACGCTAATATAAGTTCTCCTTCGGCTCCAGAACTGTGTATAGATTCTAAAAACGAACAGAACGGTGGCAAGAATATCGTAATTTTAAAGATTTGTTGAGGGGAGGAGCTCAGTAAGATTTCGGGACACAAAGCCGGCGAGGCATCGAAGGCCTGCCACAGCACTGTAAAGGTCATACTATGACCCTATCACCACATAGCGTAAGGACTAGACGTCCAGAATTTCCCCCTTCGGTTTAAGGGAGAAAACACAGCGAAAGGATCCCCTTTCAGCCCTCAGTTGAGAAAAGTAACAGGAAAAATGGGACTGACCCTTTTACCCGTAGAGGCAACCCCAATGGCCTCGCGAGATTCTCAATTAATCCAACTTTTGCGGGATAACACCAAAACAGAGAGGAGCTCTTGAAAACACATAGGGTGGTCATAGAAAATGACTGACAACGTGAAGCGGGACTAAGCCACAGGAAATTTGTTCAAAAACTTGGAGGTATCCGAAGACTGATCTTTGATTCAAGAAACAGAAAACAGCGCTGGTACGATTTCACAGATTACTCGAGTAAAGTCGAGGTCCCTAACCCCCAGGTATGCTACGGGCAGTATACCGCTTTAGGTATCATGGGGAAGTATTTTTGTTGTCGCCTGAGATGTTGTGCCGTACCGTACTCTTTGGTTCATTGAGCGCGGAGGGTCCAGGCCAGGTGAATGGCACTCTGCTTAGCACCACATTACAGTAGCAGTAAGCAAATTTCGGGCTCTTGACTCCGGCGTTAAGGTTGACCGGTATATGAGTTATAAATGCTCAACTTATTATCATTTCGGACTCTAGGATTGGCCATTCGATGGTCCCAGTCATCAAAAGCCCACCTATTATTCATACAAAAAAATAGCAGCGCCTTCCCATAAACTTGTTTGTGTGTTCACTTCTTCCAAAATGCCTCTCCTACGGTACTGTTCCCAACAAAAGCTAACTCTATCGAACAAGCAGAGTTTATTACAAGTAGAGTTAAAGAAGGGTCAGTTCTGGGTTGTTCTATTAAAGAGTTTTTCTGTTGTTGCTGGGCCCATTCGTTGTTCGACTTGGTTGCCGTGAGGCCGATTTCAGACTCCCAGCACCTATAAGGATTTTTCCCGTCACAACCAGACAGCCTCCCAGGCAACCCGGATTCCCCCTACTAAACAGATACTGATTGGTGGGTTTTTCATCAGGAACCCGGTGGTGATCACACAGTTGTCACGGTTCATCCAAGTTAACCCCGGAAAGTTTCTTATTTGGGTTTAGCTGTCGGGAAAGGGTGTGTCCGGGTCGCCTGGGTGGCTGTGTCAGTGTCTATCGGAGTGAAAAAACAAGCGCCACAAAACACAAGATATACGGTAGCGGCAATTGAGCAACGTTCCAGGTTTAGGTTTTTCTTGATTTAATGCAATGAGTCAACCGATAGGATTGCGCCTTATTGGCGAGTCATTCAACAAGACATTTTTTATTTGTTTTCTTATTCTGCTCTCTCTTGCACAGGGTAAGGAATTTGTTATGGATAAGGTTTCACAACCTGGCAAAGTTAACAGCCTAGAAACGACTTAGGGTCGCGCTGACCATCCCCTCGCCCGACGTTCTTAGACGAAACAAACATCCTTAGGTGGTAAAACAACAATACGGATATTGAGGCTCTTGCTTATTTGTGGTATTCCTGCCCCATTTTTTTTATCATCCATTTTCTTATACAGGCGGGGAGACTGCCGCAGTCGAAAGAGATTTGAGGTTTGTCCCGACAAACTCGTTAGTGAATGAGGCAGGACAAGTTCCCAGTGCGGAAGCCCCTGCGGATATTCTGGGAAGTCAGGGCCAGAAAAAGTTAGATAACGGGTGCCAAATGAATTGTTCGGGCGTTCGGTAAGGGAGTTGACGCAACAAGCACAGCCTTTCCTTTTTTTTTTTCTCTTCCTTCCACAGTACTTGTATGAGTACTGTACAGCACAGTGTTGTGCACAGTACCGCACTCGACTCTCTTTCCTCCCTTTCCCGAACAAGGAAGAGGTACGGCATCATCCATCTCTAGGGTTTATCTGTTGAAGAGTCAGAGTGGAGGCGAGAGCACGATTGGTCACAGCAACCTGCAGGGTTACACGGATCGCTGATTCGGTGAACAGGGATACCGTGCAGCCCCATTTCATGAGGAAGCAGCAGCGAGCCGGCAAAGTCCACATAGAAAATCCGCAGTCATTAGCAGCGGGCTGCAAATGAAACCGCTTTGTATGATGAATATGACGGCGAGGGGAATACAAAGGTACAGTATAGATTGCTGGAAACCCCTGTCTCAGGGTGCAAAATACAAATAGGAGAAAGGTACATTGAGGGAGGTTGAAGATGGACCTCGGATGATGGGCCGATAGAACGTTTTATGAGAACTTTGAAGAACGGGAACAGCAGAAGCCAGGCTGTAAATTTCATCGCCTGCCGTACGTACACTTTAGTAAGATGGAGAGAAGAATAGAGGGCGGAGTGGAGCGTTAGATTTGCCCAAGGATAACAGGGGAGTGAGTGAGGATGGGTGAATGGGAAAATTGTGAGCAAGTGTGGTGTGCGAGTAGTGTGGTGTGGGCGTTACTGTAGTGTGTGGGTGCATGTGTGATAGGGACTTGGGGGAGGGTGGGATGGTAAGTTGGGAGACTGTACGAGTAGTTTAGTTCAATGGTGAGCCATACCAGACCGGTATGCTAATCGATGGAGGGTAGGAATAGGGTGAGAGAGTGTGTTTGGTAGAGATGAAGGGAGAGAGGCGGGACAGTATTGCATAGGAGAGAGGACAGGCAGTTACTCATCCTTCGTTTGCGGTGGTAGGCCCCACTCAAAACAACAAAAACTCCTTCCTTTTCCCCCCTCCCATGACCGACCGAGAACACTTTTCTGCTCTTCTCGTATAAAGAATCACGCAATGAACAAGATACAGCCCACCCGTTAGATTGACGATACGGTTTCTGTCCGTCAGTCCACTCTCCACTCCACTTTCTTGCCAGTCTCTCTTGGGCCGCACAACTCCGCTCTCCGCTCTCTCTCTCTCCCTCCGTTTTTTTTCTATCTCTTGCTCTCTTGCCTATTGTACGGATACGAGGAGTACGGTACCTTTCTTATTTTATCTTAATTTGTTTTTCCATTACCATTATTCCTTTCTGTGACCTTTCTTTCTGGCCTACTCTATCCTCAACCTTGACAAACTGTCGTCGTTGCCTACGCCCGAGACAAGTTTGCCCAACGGACTCATAATCCAACTCTCCCTTGTCCACCGAAACTGTCATCCGTCCGTCATCTGGCCGCTTTTTCGCCACTGGACCCCTCCCAAGATTTCGCACCCCCTCTAAACACCTTTTTTGCTACCTAAACATCCTTCCCTTTCCACCCCCCCTCGCCGCCTCAAGCAAGCGCAGGTTTCACTCCACTCTCTAACGGCTTGCTCACACTCTCACTGGCAACGCGCCTGGCTCATTACTCATTCTCTTTGTCCGTCCCCCTTGCCCTCTCTGTACCTTTTTTAAATATTCAGCTATCGCATCTACTTGCTGCTCTCAGCAGCCACAACTATCCATTCATATTCACCTGCCATCACTACCTTTTTTGCTGCGCTATTCCTCTTCACTTTCATTAGCCATTCTCTGTTGCGACAACATACTTGTTCTGTCTGTCAATCTCTTTGCGGACGACCGGCTCGGTTGCAGCGCTCAGCTCGGAGCCGCCGTGCCACGACCCAGCCCGGGTGGCCCTAGTGCCTAAACGCCCCCCCGCCCCTGATCAACTCAATAGTCCCCCCCCCACAGCCAACTCTACACGTCTCTCTCCCTACCCTGGTCAAGACTCATTCTCTCTCACTCGATTAGACCATCACGAGGCGCTGAGGCAAAGTCACAGCGACCTCTAGTTCTCTGAGTCGCCATTTACAAAAACGCCTTCCATTACAATCGCCGGATATCCTCCCTTCCCAGGTTTGGGATATCACAATGCATCCTGCGAAAATCACTGTTGCCGAGATTTCAGTCACCGCCACCCCTATCACTTTAACTACAGTTGCTGCTGTTGATGAGTTTGGAAGTACTCAATCCTAAATTTTCTAAGAGACATAGTTACCTCTTTGTCGATATATTCATCAACAGCTTTGGAAAACAACGCAACAAAAAGAAAAAGAAAAAAAAAATACACCTTGGGATATAGACGGTGACTGGAATTCTATTCGGGAAAGAAACGATTTGCTTTCGTTATTTTAATTCTGGGTTTTTTTTTTTTTACTGAATTTTTTTCCGGGGTATTTCCTTCTGATTTTCGGCTACGCGTCTTCATTGGGCATAAGGAAGTTTCGGTTTTCGGTTGGGCGCCTTGGTTACAGTGGTATTTCAATATTCGGATCGTTATTTGGAGGGTTTTCATTGCTTCGACCGACAGGATTTTTCTACTTCGCCTCGTTAAGTCATAGTCGTCACCGGGCTCACGTCTCCGACAACGATATATCGCGAACACCAGCCACTCCAGCTGGTATTCTCTCGTTGCCGCCACCCGCCTGACGTCCGGTTCATCTTTCGAGCTATCCTGTATCTTGTCACCATTTCAGTGCTTTCTTTAAGTACAACCTTAGAAAGCCTCAAATTCAACTAGTACCCTCACCGGGATCGACCTACTTTCCTGAGATTGTCAGTATACATACATATACGGCCTTGAAGACGGAATAAGGATTCAGATATTATACATCCCGGTGCTCCCTGAAAGGGAACCTTTACAAAACAGCTAATATTATATAACGCATCTCCACTCAATCCTTTTTTCCTTTTTTTTTCTTTTTGAATCCCAGTTTTTTTTTGCCCGCAATATGACCCTGGCACATACACCACCCACGGCAACAATTACGCACTCTCGTTACTCTTATTCACCTGCGCCCTCAATAGCCTCATCAGCTTCGTCGTCCCAATCCTCTGGTTGGTCCGTGGCATCGGCGGTATCAAACACCACTTCCGTTGCCTCGTGTACCGGCGGTGCCTCGGCTCCAGGGACGAATATTATCCCCTCCCTGAATATTCAGCGTCAATTTGCAGGCTCGGAGCAAGATGGTTGGCTACTCCGAAAAAGAGTATCGGTCTCTAGCCTTCGAGGCAGTGATTCAATTCAACACCCGCACCCTCCCTCAGTTACAGTTGCTCAGGAACCGGTGCCCATAGAACAGCGTCGTAACGCCCGGAGAACTAATCGTTTGGTTGAAGGAGCCAACGCTGGATGTCCTGTATCTGAAGGTTGCCCGTTACCTCCTGTACCTACCTTACAAAGGCAGGTTGATCGGAAGGTTAACTTCGTTGACAATCTCGTTGGTATGTTAAGCACTCGGCCGAGGATCCTTTTCGATGAAAGTTTATACGCAGGTACTAAGATTCATATTACGATAAAGACTCCGCAGCTCAGATTGTCGAGACAATATGGCCGCCCCCGAAGATGCTTATTTGTGCAACCCCAAAGGATAAGGTTCTTCCGCTCCGGACATTCATTCAGGAAACCCTCCGTAGATCCCGGACCAGTTATTCAACACTCCAAGTTGCTCTGTACTACCTGATTGTAATTAGGCCTCATCTTCCCCCCCGGGATTGCGATATCAGCAGTTTACCCGCTGAAGAGGCACAGATGACTCGTGCCAAGCAATGTGGTAGAAGAATGTTCTTGGCGGCTTTGATCTTGGCATCAAAGTACTTACAAGATCGTAATTATTCTGCGAGGGCTTGGAGCAAGATTTCAGGGCTGAACACGCAGGAAATAAACGTCAATGAGATGGCATTCCTAGACGCTGTCAACTGGCGGCTTCATATATCGGAGACCAATTTCCAGAAATGGACTGATCTGGTATTGAAGTACACATCGGATCACAACCCATCCTCGGCATCTTCGGCCCGGGCCAATCCGTGGGTTGATGAAGAAGAACGGAAGAGGGAGTGGTGTGATTTGGTCTTGAAGCTTTCGCCGGATTTGAACGAGGCGGAGTTATTAGCGTCTGGGGGATTAACACCTTGTGCGGTAGATGCAGACATAGTCGCGTCCACCTCGCCACTTACGATTGAACCCTTCGTACCTATAGCTCCTGCCCAGCAGACTCCGGCAGCACCCGTAGCTGCCCAGCCCGTTGCTACACTTGCACCCCGAGCAACCGAGCACCTTCAAACGTCACACCCCCATGCGTTTAAAGCACTTCATCAACCCCTCCCAAAGGCGCCTGCTTTCCGCCGCTCATCTTCGTCACAACTGCACTCTGGAACAGTGACCCCTGCAGCGGGAATCTGTTCTAGTCGGCTAGAAGTGACATCTGCATCTCGGTGCTCTGCCATGGCTTCCGTAGCCAAGATCGCCGAAAATGCGTTATCCGGAGCTACAATGGAGAAGTTCCCATTCGCACCAAGAAGAGGATCTGATGCGCTACCTCCACCTGTCCTTCCTCCGTCTCAGGGTGGCTGCATTCGTAGATCATCCTTGTCAGCTTCCGTGTCAAAGCCTGGTCCCTCAAGCTCGCCAGCATTCCCGAAGGCTAAACAGAGCTGCGAGTTGAGCAAGCTAGTTTTCACTACTTTTGCCCCTCCTTCACCTAGTTCTGTTGCGTCATCGGTCAAAAATATTTGCACCAGTCCCCGGAAAACCGGCGATCACCGTATGACTCCATGTGTATCGCCTAAATCAAGAGAAGCGGCATTGAGTTTGAATATGCTCAAGGAGACTTATTCCCCATGCTCGAGCGGTTCAACCACTCCCACCGGATTGTCGAGGAAGAGGAGCTACCCTGAAAGTGCAATGGAAGGTCACCCAGGAAGCGCTCTAAGAGTAGAGGCCAATGTTCATGGGTACGCAGCAGACGGGACTACTAGCGTGACTCCAAAGTTCAAATCACTTAATAGTGGTTTTCGGTCGCCGTCTCTAGCATATGGATCTCCAACCAGAAGCCCTGCACCCGATAGGAAAGGCAAGAGATTGAGGTGCGCCCCGGAAAAGAAAATGGGAGGAATGAATATGATAGAAGGAATGTCGGTGGCACAGAATGTGCGATAGGCACAAGTGGTATTGGGTTCGCTTTCATGTAAACATCATTGTGTGCAACCTTTTTTTCTTATCTTTTTGAATTCTCTGGTCAACCGTTATGGGGGTATTCTGATTTTATGGACGTTGCTTTTGTTCCCTTTCGAGGCTTTGTCAAGAGAGGCAAAATACGGTGTTCTGGTTTTTTATTCCTTTTTCCACTTTGTTTCTGTCAGGCTTTGTTCAATTCTTTCCTTATCCCACTGCGTTTTTTACATAGCAGATAACTAGTCAATCGCTTATTATTTTCTAACCAGCGGGATCAAGCAGATTCCCTTTTATATAACATCTGCGTTCAAAGTCTTTCAAGCAAGCAAAGGAGAGGTGCGAGAAAAGAGAAGGTTGATTTTGTACGGACATTTATTTGCTATATGCCCTAACGGAACAAGGGACAGCTTTCAAGCATTCTGGGACTTGATATTCAGACTATGTGATTGAGTAACTGAGTGATATCGGTAGATTTCTTTTTGCTAAGTATGCTCATTTTTCCTCTTTCCGCGAATAAATTTCTTTCTTTTTTTTCTGGAAACGGTGTTTCATCTAAATCTTAGGTTTTGCTAATCCCCTTCCATCCACTGGATGACGACAGTCGAAACCAACCAACCCCCCCTCCCCTCAATACCGATTAACTAGTTGACCCTGGTCTAATATTTACCCGTGGCCTTTTATATCCACATCACACGCATAGCAGATAAAGCCCTGGCCAAGCTAAACTAATCAAAATCTAACCCGGACATGATCGCGGTTCCTACCCACAGCGTATAAACCTTACGTTCCCTCCTGTCCAACCCCATCGCCGCATCACAGTAGATCACTCGTGGAGCTACCGCGAGCCTCCTCCTTGTGGGAAAAAACTGCGCTAAGAATCAAGTTTAAAAAATGTCCCCATTATCTAGCGTTCTAGGCACCACCGTACCCGTACATTGTGCGATTGGGATATGTTTCTTCCACTAGAGGGCGGAACTCACCAACCTTTTCACCGGAGCAGGGGTGCGTGCAGTTTTAAAAAATGAGTCATTGATCATGGCATATGCTTATGCTTCCCGTTTTGGGCTCGTAGGTGGGTGAGGGTGGGTGAGTCAGTGAGTCAGTGTTAATATCGTGCTGTATATGGGTACGAGTGGATGCATGGTTTGGCATGGTGCTTGCTTGCTTGCTTGCTATGCTCTGCGGTGTAGTGTGGTGCGCGCGCGGGGGGGGGGGCGATGTGAGCTGTGGTTAATTGGTTGGTTGTGGGCGGTGGGTGTGTGGGCGACCTGCGGTAAGTATGGAGCCGCGATGGTATGAGCTAGGTTAGTTTGGGACTGCATCTATCGCCAGCGGTGACGGTGATGCTGGGTCGTGGCTGTTGACAGGATTTGCGTAGTGTTTTTTCTTTACTTTTTTCTTTCTTTCAAATATGGTATGATGCTTGCTGAAGGTTAAGTTTCATTCACTCAACAATTCTGTATGGACGGATCCTCATGATTGCTCTTTAAGGGCGAAGGAAGATGTGCTGGTTAGGTGATTTGTTGGCTCTGCGCTGGATTAGATCTTCCAACCCCCCCTCACACCGACCCCTTTCCGCCAGTATTGGATTGTACTAGGAAAGAGTCTCTAAAGTGGACTGGGACTAACTGCCCGCCCGGCGGCGGTGATCCCGAGCACAGTCCGTTTGGCATGTGTGTATATCATATACCATGACTGTTTTTCCTAACAATATTGTTTTGTCTCTCCAACCGTCTGTCTATACTATATTGGTTACTTATCCGCCTTAGTTTGACAATTCATCGGCTTGAGGGGAAACGAGGATCACGCTAACTGTGATACACTGAGAGAGTCGAAATATCCTATTCCGCCCCCGTATTTGATGCAGGGGCGTTCAATTGCTCTCTACTGATATAATTTCTTTCTTTCTTACGTTCTGCGGTACCTTGCGGCTCGGGTCACCTCCGGGTGACGCTGTGTACTTTCGCTACATATCTGCGTTGTCTGTCCACCAAGGCGTTTTGTTTTATATATACATGCAGCATTTGTGTTGGGGGGTGGTATTTTACGAGGTACTACAGGGTTAGCTAGGGTGAGGGGAAAAGGAATTTGGGCAGAAATTGACCTCCCCTTCTCACGATTGAAGGGAAGCGCTTTGCCCTCCTGAAAGAAATAAGGAGAGAAAGAAAGAGGTTTTTTCTGTGTTTTTTCTGTGATGGTGAGCTATCTTGGGTGTTGGGGGTTGGAACGACGTTGGGCGGATTCGGCGGTAAGATTCCCGCTCTTGTCTGCTCTTGGGGCTCTTTCTACGATATCAAGTGCTACGGCGATGGTGAGATTCTCGACTCCGTTCTTGGACTTCATGGACACACCTCTTCCGGTATGGTAAATTGTCGTGAGGTGCTTGGCTGGCTGGCTGGCTGGCTACAAGATCAACCTGCCTGCGTCCGCCTTTGCAGAAGCACTTGGATATAACTATTCCTCTAGCTAGCTGCCGGCAGGAGTGAATGAGGAAATGAAATGGGTGGTCAAACTGTTTCTCATAAATCCACGCCTCTCCGCAAATAAAACCAATTGTGCCCACAGCTAGACACACTGAGCCGATCCGGTGCTACACGTAGGTGGTGCCCCGATCCGATCCGGAGCGCAACCGCTGTAATTAGGCAGAGGATTTTGGGGCCTTGATAGGTTCTTGTTCAGCTTCCATAGGTTGGTTTTTCACCGGCGTCCGGAATACTGACACAAGGTCTGGTAGATCACTACGCAATGGACTTCAGTTCTGGGCTACCTATTTGATGATTCTGCACTCCTCGGGCTTTGATACAGTGGTCTTCAGGCATGTTTGAGGAGATGACTGCCAAATGAAAGCGGGCACACTTCACTTTAGCCCAAAGAATGGGTGTTTCCTGCTCGTGTGGGAAATGTGAGTTTCGGGGAGGGGGGAGGAGTGGTGAGTGTGGATACCTGGTACGCAGGGGAGGTATCGCTCTTGGTTGGAAATGATATCATGTAGGGCGCAACCATCGGAGCGGTGGCGGGAGACGTCAGATGTCGTGTTGAGAGTTCGGGGCCAAGATTATACCTTCATTTTAATGCTCCACCATCTCTCAATAATCACCTTTTAACCAAACTGATCTAGCGCGCCTCAGGGTGCCCATTTCTCCAATCCGCGAGCAGCATCGCCGCTTGCTTCAGGAGCTGCAAGGACACAATTCTCGCAAACCGCCCTCGCTCCATTGCAAATAACCAGTAGGCTAATAATAAGAAGCCCATCGCCGCCAACAATCACAAACGCTAACTGCCTTGCGGTACGAGGTCGATTCTGCGGTTCACATAAATGGAGGGATGACTGTTCCTAGGGGACCTGTATGAGCTAGAGTAGGCTAAGGTGGAGTATGATAGAATGATCAGGGATAAAATATATGAGCTGGTATCATATATCCTCCATCAGATAAAATATGCATTTCCCCTCTCGGCTTCTAACTTTACTACACCCGAGATATACCGGTGGGATTACCCCACTATCAAATATTTCATCACAGCGCCTATCACGGATAAGCAATTGATATTCCATGAACGGCAACCGCCAGCTCCTTTGATGTGCCAGGGGGGGCCAAACTAGCACAGTATATCTAGGTCTTGGTAAAATAAGATATACTTTAGTTCCTCTGGGACCCAAGTCCAACAGAACCTGACTGGCTTGGGAACGGCTTCAACATAACGACAAATCAACCTCATCCTCCCTGCAAAAAAAAAAAAAAAGGTACTATATATCGGCGATTAATTCTATTGCCCGGGCATCGTTACCAGATCCCCACAGCCCCAAAGAATTCCTGGCTACGTACTATACTATGTCTACCGCAATCTCTTACGGCTCAGTTCTAGGATTGATTATCGGGCTTCGCGAGCAAACAACTTCACGATGGATGACGCATTCATAACATGACGAGGCGGGTATGTTCCCGAGCAAACACGCTCGTGATGGATTGGAGCTGGCGTGTTGGGTGTGATGGACAGATTTTGGGGCTGGGATGCTAAGCGTCGTAATCCCACTCGTGGGGGAGTGGAGATTTAGAAAATAAACTGTCAAAAGGCATATATGAGCTCTGGTAAGGGCCTCATTTCCAGGTGACGGTGCTGCCCCACCCGAGAGCGCCCCCGGATATGATATCAATCTGAAACCGAGCTCTACAGATGGTGTCCAATTCTCTCCCAGCTCCCCCCACGATGGTTCCACTTCGAGCACAGCTAATCAAGAAATGCCGGAGAAATAAAGCTGAGGAACACGTCAATCGCTGAGATGAGGGCATCAACACGGCCCCTTTTGGAAAAACAAAAACTCCGGGATGGATAAAGGCACTACTATATCCATGTGAGGAATGAGAGGTATATCCCTCAAACCTACCATAACGGTACAAGTACCACCCAGAACAGGGAGACAGTCACCTGAGAATACTTGGATACTGTAGATAGGGGCCACTAGGAGGTAATATGAATGCGGCCAAGAGCCTCGACTGCCGTATCCCGAAAAGATGGATACCTCCAAATCGACCCTCTATGCAGATAGTGCTCGCACTCGTATCACAAGTGAGTTGGGGAGAAAGAAAAGAAAGAGCCCGCCACACCACCGGAGACAAACCCAACAACCCAAACCGCAAAAACAATGAACCTAGGGTTCATTTACTTAAGCATCTCATTGATTAAGTGATACGAGATTCTACCTATTAGACTGGACATATACGTCTCCAAAAGCCGGCTTTCCCCCCGTACAGAGTTACGTATGATACGTACTCCCTGAAGTTACCCGTAAGTAAAAAAATCTAGTTGGAACCGTACGCGTAGCAAGTAGGCTATGCTAACTGGCTGCTAGATTACATTAGTGAAATGATCAATATGCCCGTCAGCACTATTCGCTGTTTTTTAACTGGGGAACTCAAAACCGCTACGGCAACATCCTTCTCCCGACCGCGTCCGCAAAATTCTCATACCCCTTCCGAGTACTTGGTTACTGGTACTTCTACTCGCACTGGGAACCGCTTCGCTAGCACTTTCTTTCCACTCTTCGGTGGTGGCGGGTTTGTGGTGAAGGTTTTGCAATGCCTCTAGAGGCACATCCGAAAACGGTTATCTGGGGGGCTCTTGCTGTTCTGTTACTTTTAATAGCTACCGACTGGTATTGCTCTTGAGGTGAGAGAACTTTTGTGGAAGTGGCTGTGCATGTTTGTTGCTCAAGGTTGGCTGCTCACTTCTCTGGTTGATGACTAATCCACCATACTTGTCTGCTGAATAATTTGGTTAGGCTACAGATGGAACTGGGCAGAAGGGTGGAATAAATACAAGAAAGTTTCCCCCTAGGGGCACTTTATTTTGGCTGCTCTACCGCCATTCCCAAATCATGCGGTATCATACGAGTACCTGGCTGCCTCCAGCTTGATATCATATCGCCTATCATACGACACAACGGGGAATAATGCCAGCAGATATACCCCCGGTAGCCATTTGCGGAGCTGCCGCCAGACCCGTCAGCTACTCGTACGATACCGGTATATGTGACTGGATGCATTATACGTCTTGACGCTATCGTATCACTTGCACAGTATTAGTATTTTCCCATCTGTATCGTGGGGGAAACTCGAACTCCACGCTGGGAAGTGGAAACCCCCCTGGATAAAGGGGGATGGCTTTGCAAGGGTCGATATGGTACTGTAATTCGCTATTGATAGCAAAAGTAGCCAGGCAGCAACTTCAAGGACATAAGCGGCGCTCAAAACGATCTACGGTACTCTAACTTCTATCGTATTATAGCAAGTCCCGAACGGCCAGGCTCCTCATCTTATTATCTCTCGCTATATTGGAAAAATCCGATGGAGGGGAAAAAAAAGAAGAAGAAAAAGGGACTCGGGCTTCGTTCAACTCGGAAGGTTTCTATGTTATTCTCAATTCCTTACATGTCTAAGAAGAGTTCCATATAGAGTAGTAATGATATAATGCTCTGCCCACCCCTCGTAGTCTAGGCCGTTACTGCCATGACATACACTACTTGAGTAATAATTTTTCTGTTTTTTTCACACTTTGTAATGATATAGCTTAACCCTCTGAGCTGGGAGTTGCTCATCCTTTTCCCAAGCCGGTTGAAGAAGACTTCCAATCCGGAAGGGAGGTTTCAAGACTTCATCCGGTAGAGAAAACAATCTGATGCACCACCTTGAGACGAGATTCGACGTCCCGCCAAAGTATATTCTCTTGCTCGAACCGTTGGGGATTTTAGAAGATCATGGCTGCTTCTTCTTCCGTCTCAGCATCCTACTTGCTATGTCTGGATGATATAGCAACTCGTGAAGGACATACATGATACATGAAAGAGCGGGACGCCTCCCTGGAGGACAATAAAACAAGTAGAGCTAAGAGGTATCTATCTATCTATCTATCTGCAAAGGGTAATCGAATTCCCTTCCATAACCCCACGACTATCCGCGTAGCAAGCCCCAAGCGGTCAGTTCCGTCCGGCCTGGGTCACCGAGATATCACAATATTTAATTATTAAGGAAGATTTCACGTTTCAACAGGACTAAATTTACCCACCACGAACGGAATCGTTCGGTCGATTATATGTTCACCCCGGTGGTGGTGGTTAGGAGGTTGTGCGAAGAGGAAGAATGGTATAGGGTTGCCGTGAAGCAGGGCAGTATTATACGGGTTGAATATATCATAAGTAAGATGTAGGCTTATCGGTAGATGAGCGAAAATCTTATAGCACCGCTGAATATCATAATATTATATCGCTTTTATTCTCATCCGAGTGATGGAAAGTGAAAAAAAAAATGAAAAAAAAAATGAAAAAACAAGATTTTACCAGCAGCTCCTTGAGATGATTTAGCGTTTAATCACTTCCTCTCCGTCACTTGCGCGCCCTATCACTGCTCTTTTCGCCATGGCCCCCATTAATCATTAATCCTCCCAAGACTATTACCAATCCTGTACCCGCCGTCCATTCCAATTTCAAATCCACGATCACATAAACGTGATCCAGCCACGGTATACCGCGCACTTTCATCATAATACTTCCTTCTCCCGCTATCCGGTAATCCTTCTGGCCCTCTAGCTTTTCTCCACTCTCCCTTAATCGCTTATAAGCATCCAACCAATTCTCGGGGCCAAGATTCTTTGCTCGTTCTCCGCACCCACACTCTGACGGACGAATATACCGAGTGATATAGCGTGCAATGCCATCTAGGTCTTCTAGATGAATCCTGCGTTTTCGAAGACTCGTCAAGAGTGGGAATATGGCAATGGTAGTGGTCAGTTGGGGCGGTGGGGAGAAAAAAAAAAAGTGCAAGGAGCGATCTTGGAGGAGGTGAGAACGGGGAGGTAAGAGTCACAGTTGGACATGGTGGATTGACTGTTTTTGCTTCAAAGGTGAAAATATGGTCATTTCCTTTGAGGTGTTCACGAGAAGGTTTTTTTTTCTTTTCTTTTCTTTTGAAGAGCATGAGAGCCGGCACGGCTGAGTGACTGAGCAATCACCCCCCTCTTCTAGATGCAGCACATTACTAGTATCCTATATCCAACAGTCATCCACCTCCAAGGTTGCCCAAAGTCCCGTTCATCCTACCATTCACTCACCAACCCCTCTCACCCGGAGCCTTTCCCTTCGCAAACCCGGTACTACAACTCCTGGAAAACCCCACCGCACAACCACCGATCACAACCACTCACTCACCAACAATCACCACCGATCTCAGGAACACCCAATGGATCCCACAAAAAAGCAAAGAACGGCTTCTCCGAGACGTCTGCAGCAACGGTTTAGCCGTAAACCTCCTCTTCCCCTTCCTGCGAAGAAATAAATAAATATGATAAATAAATAAATAGATCCTGCCACAAGAATAAACAACCGGACCGAGTAAAATTTAGGAAAACAGTGGAGTCATATGCATTTCTCCGAATGAAAAAAATGAAGAAAAAAAAACCCCCCAGGACTTATTGTACCCTATCGCCGAGTGATATTCGGTGTAACTATGGTGAATTCTGACCGATCGACTGCCGGTAAGTTAACTTGATACCGGGGACATTCATAAATAGATGCAAACACGAGCTCGTTGAGGGAAGGCAGATTGGTGATAATAATGATGGGGATGTTTATCCACGCTTGATAACCTCCGCCATCTCTTCGGCGAGTAATTCGATTGGCTATTCTACCGGCCCTGAAAAAAGGTCAAATTTGGCTTTTTCGTCTACGCGCCTCTCGTTTGCAGGTGTAATCTTTTTCGCCACCAAGATATCATTGTACTAGCAAGGGACGGAGACTTATGATGCGCCCACATGCCAAGTGGGATTCCGGGCATATCCGTCAGAAGGATCCATTGGTTGCGTCCGGATATAAGACTCAGTGGTATTTCCGATTCGTTCGGGGCATGTGGGAGGGGGACTATCGGGTGAACTGCGCGACCCCTCAGAACACCTCTGTCCATAACTCGGAGGGGGCCATTATTATAAAGATCAGAAAATATAGAGGGCGCGATGCAGGAATCATCCGACCGGAGCAGTTATGTTGTCCGAAAAAGAAAAATATATATAATGTCACAGAAGTCAAAAATCCTGAGCGGTTGCTTTGGAGTTACACCCAATCGGACGTGTAAGGATCAGAGGTTTAGAGGGAGTTTTCATTATCGGAACGAACTCGTATAAAAAATTGGACTGTATGCAATCCCGATTCACCCCCCCCCCCGTTGCAATCATGTTGTTTGGTAGTGGATCCCGGTCACTTATTGTCCCAAGAACACCAGTTTGAGTTTTTGATTTGGCATCTCGTTTAGTAGAGGATCTGGATGATCATTCCTTCCAATTCTTAATGACACCCCCCCGATTTTGTACTTGTATAGGGCGCATAAACTGGTATCTTAAAAGCTCAAATAACGGACCGTGTGCTACCAGTATGTAGCTCTGAATTCCCTTCCACGGAAAGGGGCAAAAAGCAAACCGAAAACACAGCCCCCTTTCCCCTTCCGAGACAGAAGGAAAAACAAAAAATTTATCGTCCTTACAAAGAGAGGAAGCCCAACCACATAGCACACGGCGCAATTATTCGAGCTTTCACTGTCCAGTACCACCATACGCCGGGAGCGACGAAACAACGGCAGCCAGGCACACCGGAACGTATGCTATCTCGTTTTTTTTCCCACAATAGTCATCAGTCACACCTTCATGCAAAGCGACCGAAAACCCAAAGTAATCCAAAGTAAGCCGAATTTTCCAAGGCCGGGAAAAAATAATCCAGAGTTTTATTGGACACCTGTCTGCCGAAAATAACCAGACAGCCCCCCCCTCTAATCATGATGTTTGGAAACCCATGGGCTCCGGGGACCATATCCAAGGATTAAATCTAACTTCGCATAAATCATGGGGTCAAACGAAGACAAAGTTCGTGTAGATCCTTGGAACCCTTCCCATGGTCCGACACTCGCATTGTCCGGTGTAATGCCTCTTCAACGTTGCACAGAAAACCACAGGTCCAGGGACTTCCCCTCATCCCCACTCTTCGATACGGCACGTAATAATACGATGTCGCACCCTTCACCACCACCGTTGCGCATGAGGAAAGGTCTAAAATAAAAACGAGGGAAAAACTTGATTAGCTTCCCAACCGCGTTCCGGGTATGGCGAGTGGTAGAACGGCACTGCATTTCATCATGAACGGCAGCTGCATAGCTCACTTTCCTCGCTCAAACCACCTCACCGGAGACCCGGCCACCCTAGAACACGGAAATCTAAAATCGCTTTCACGTGCGCTCTCTGGAAAACCCACCCTCCCACAGCACTGGGATTTTCCTAGGCTCGATTTGCGGTACCGACCATGCGCCGCAGACTTCGGCCACTCACAAGTCTCTCATCTCTCTATCCGAGTGATACACCGTGAGCAGACTGCCCTGTCTCCACCCCTACTCACGCCTCCCCCTTATCCTCCCGGCCCTCTGGGGTCATTAATCCGTCTCGAACAGATACGGAGATACGGGGAAGATCGCCGCCACAACCCGGCAACGGTGGGGGAAGACTAAAGGCTTGGGCAAGGCGCCGTATCTAAGCTGAGAATCCCCTTTGGAAGATATATCCACGATAAACACAGGACTGTTGAAGCTCCCAAACAAACAATTGGGGTTGGGATTGTGTCTGGAATCAGCCAGTCCTCCGGAATTAACCGGTTGTTTGATGTTTGCGGGATATATTTGATCTCGAGTCGGGCTTGATACCGGAGACAGGGGCTCCGGAGAGTTAGCGGTTCTAAGGCACTCGGGTAGTCAGGGTAATGGAAAGGTGGTTTCCGAGAAAAGCTGACCAAGAGTGGGGTATCAATCATATGTAGCAGACCAATGAGACGAATAGGACGTGAGAATTGGGATGGACACCCAATAGAGATCTTTTTGGTCTGGGTTTCGAAATGTTAAGTGGTTTGAAGAAGTTTGAAAATAAAACATGTGATGACAAGTACTCGTAGAGCGAACAATATAACATAAGCCGGGAATGATAGAACTGCGACAGCAACACGGGACAGGCATTAATACCCCATGCACCATATAACGACCCAATAATACCACAAAATACCACAAAGACCACCGCATAGCACCCACAACGGTTTTCCGCCAACCGTTAAGCATGCATGGCTCTCAAAAATAACCCACACATAACCTCAAAACCCGCAACGCAAAATGCCTATCGAGTGACACCATGTGATGAGGACTGCGGATTCAAAGGACCATCGATGGCAAGGAAGAAACGTAGAGATAACCCCGCTCCTACCCCGACCAAACAGAAACGGACGACACTGCGGTGAACCACGCCTGGCCACAACCCTTTCCACCCCCCCCGAAACCTGTACCCAGTGTCACCCTGCATAGCCTTAGCGCTCTCCGAGTTCCGACAGACTACGTTGTGTCCGCGGAAACCCACATAAAGGCATTCCATAACCGTACTATGACGGCCTCGGCTCGATATGTAAGAGAGC